AGTGCCCTTTCCTTATGATTGCACACGCGTGGCAATCAATTCAGCGTAAACAAACACAAATAGTATTTTCCCTCCGAAGACTTCTGTAATACACGTCTACTGAACATGAAAAATCAGGGAATGGAAATAGTACATAGTTTAAAAGGCAGAAAGAGAGAGGAAAAAAATAAAGTCAAAGTATATGGTTATCGTTTCCACCATGATTTATTAAGGAAACCGCTTGCTCTAGGTTCTTCCTTTTGGAAGCTGTGTTTATGCTGTCAGTGAAAGCTATTTAAGAGAGGAAGGGTTTCGATTTTTTGAAGCAGGATAATTAATAGATATGGATAGTGTCAAGAAACGTTTGATAGTTTATATTCCGAAGTTGAAGCAAGTGCTAATAAGTCCCATAAATGAGGAAAATGGTAAGCAAAGAGGAACTTTCAACAATTTAATTCAATTATACTTAAACAAAAACAAATGTGTATTTATATATATGCACATACATGAGTGTGTGTATAATATATACATATGTATATATATGTATATGTAAGGAAAGAGAGACATACAGACATACATATACATATATATATTCATATATAAATTTATATGTAAATATAGATAGACAGATGCATAAACATGTGTACAAGTATTTATATATGTTTGTGTGTGTACATATATATGAATGTAAGTATGTATATGTATATATATTGTTTATCCAAGGCATGAAGAAACCCTGAAGAAGCAATACAGCGAAAATGCCTTAGAGTTTTCTTGTTCTTCCCTGCGTTGTTCCTTTGTCATATAATTACATTTATATATTTATTTAAATATGTATGTGTATACACATAAGTATTTAGTTATAAATGTAAAAACATAGATTGATTGATAAATAAGTACATGCACATGTATATACGTTTATATAAATAAGGACATGTATATATACATATTTTACATATAGATATATAGGTACATACATAGATAAATAAATACATATAGATAGAGAGAAATAATATAGATTCATATAAAGATAGACTGATACAGATATAAATAAATATAGCTATGCAGACATAGATTTATTAAGTTTTGGTGGCCTAATCAGGATTCTTGTACAATATGCCTGGAAATATATGTAATGTGTTAGGTGATGGTGAAAAAGAAAGGGATAAAACACAATCATTCTAGAAACTATATTTAAATTTATTTGTCTAAAGTCATCAAACTTTCAGCATGATAAGAACTATGCTGTCATAATTATACAGCATGTGGTGTAGAAAATAAACATCTGGGGTCAACCACCTGTATATTCGCAGTCATGAAGCAAATAAATATTATCTAACAATAGGCACAGAATATCTGCATATTATGTATGTACACTAGCAGGACATATCGCAATTAGAGATTTTCTCTTTGCAGTATGACTCATCAGTGAACATGTGTTTTCGCTGTCCAACGGACATTAGAGAGAGAAGCACCTTGTCACCCTTCTGTGGCTCTAGCCATAGGAAGATGCCAACAGATGCGACAATGAGTTTTAGCTGCAAGCTTTACTCTTTCCCTCCAGAGCTGCAGTCACAGCCCCATGCCAGATCCAAGAGCTCACTCAGTTCCTCCTCACCAAGTGAACATTTGGGGAAAACCTTCTTGCAGACGGAGGAGTCTTTCTCCTTAGTGGCGACGACTCTAGCGTAGACGAAGGCAGCGTTGTAGGAGTTTGGGTTCATGGTATTATCGCTTAAGATTTCCACAAGCATGTTCTCTTTCAGTGTGCGATCGGATTCATCCTTCGCCTGCAGGACGCAAAACATCTTGGGGATGCAGGTGTCGGCATGTCCTACTGCAGACAAAATCAGGTCGTCATCTTCCTCATCAGCTGCTGCGACGGAGCGGCGGTAGCGGAGACGGTACTTCCTTTTAGGAGCTCTATATCCATGGCCATGGCCGCGTCCATGGCTTGCACCGTGATATCTCCGTTTGCTTATAGCGCTCGTCAAGGCTCCTAGGCCGGCTAGAACGCCGAATGAGGTTGCTTGGACTGCCATCAAGCAGGAAAGACCAACGGCCACCAGAAGGATTAGGGCGCTATTCATCTAAAAGGAAAAGAAAAATGTGTATTCTCTTAGTTAATCGCAACAAAAGTCAGTGTTACAAGTAAATTAGTGCAATGATGTACTTAATTTTCCTTGGCAAACAATGAACACTGATCCCTATGTTCAATACTATTGTCTATAAACATCGTGATTTATTTCACCTTATTTAATAACCAGATCGGTTTTTTTCACAAATTCACATATACACACCTTGCAGATCACTCAGTAGATAAAGAATCTCTTCAAAGTTAGGAGGCTTAATGTTCTGTTTTCTCCAGTAAGCATTTGAGTATACTAAGCTTTGGGTCTAAGGCTATATATATATATATCTCTGCCTGATATTGTAGAAAATATCCTTTAATGTCATTGGTCGACCTTTTACGCCCCGACCAATAGCGAGACAGCATCGCCAAGCCTTGTGCAAGAAAGGTATTACAGGAAGCAGTCTATACCTCTGCTGAATATGAATTACTGGATAATGAGGAAAGAAAAGTACGAAGATCAGATAAACATGTAACTACGTAATTATATAGAGTCAGCCATCGCAGAAATGGAAACGGAATGGATGTACAATCAGTTAATCATCAGAAAAAATAGATATATATATATATACTTAACATATAGAAGTAAACAAGAATAACAGAGAGGGGTTCATTCTTAATCACAAAAGAAAAGAAGAATCCGTGTATTCTGATGTTAAAAATTCATTTTTATCATCAATTTCTCTCACCGTAATTCCGTAATTCCCATTACTTTAATTACTGTATGAATGAAAACATCCGTCTGAAAATGAAAAAAACATTATTATTAACAGTATTACTCGTTCGCATATTCCTGATGGCAATGATAATAACAAGAATGAGTATGCAACAGTATCAATGATAATAAAAACACAGTAATGACACAGATAATATTACGAATTATTTGATTACGTTCTATTTTCTATGTCCATAAAATTATGTTAATACTAGGTACTTATACATCTCATGATTTATTTTTAGCAAAGCATGTTTCATTGTATATTTCTGTAAACCTACATAGCCTTATAGGTTCTTACTACCATCCCGGACTAGTTTCTCTATCGTGTTCAGTCTAGAGTCTGTCGTGCTGAATTTTTTGTCCTTGATTTCAACTCATGTATTTGAGTTTTCTTGCTGCCATGTCGAATCCATGCTGCCATATTGTAGCTAAGTATTCTTTGAAAACCATGTTAATACTTAACCGTTGTATTATCTTGCTGATGTGATCAATATAATTTTCGCGTTGAATCTGTCTAGGACGCTGGACCCATCTTGACAAGTTAAATCTGTTATGTTGGATCATGCTGGTATTTAAAACCTACCTTTCTGTTACGCACAATCAACTGTATTTTAATATGATACCCAATGATTTAGGATTACATACGCTCCCTTTGGGTGATCATAACAGCTAACTGGAGATTCTCAGAATACTTTCACACTCGCCAGACTATCCACATTACTAACATTGTTAACAAGTAAATTGTTAACAAGTAAAAGTTCATTTCTATGTTTCGAATCTATGTATTGATCTGACTTCATCGGGTATTGTGGTGAGCAATGAAGTAATGTTTGCAATGAAAGTAAAAGTGAAATCAAGAAAAAAAATATCGTTCTATGTATGATGATTGTTTAAGGAGAAACCTGAGACAAGAACAGAAAGGAAAAGAAAGGAATGTAGCAAAAAAGTGTAACGAGAGAAACAGCTGATGAGGGTTTCACAACAGTTACAAAAATGGCTGAAAGACGAGATGGCAAATGGGATGCAGTTTCAAAAAATTAAAAGAGAAGAAAATGAACAAGATGGAGAAAGGGGGAGGGCAGGGAACGAACATATATGAGAAAGGGAGGGGGGGGGAATTGAAAAATGAATGAATAAGACTGATAATCATCTATAAGTTTCACAATGAAATATAAACAATAGATAAGCACATATATGTCAAACTAAGTGAAATGCAAGGAGCATCGTTAGAGTGGATTGGAAAGCGAATGGAGGATTCCGGAATGGCTGGATGCTGCTTCGTATGTTCAATGGCTTTGGTGCTACCATTTTTTTTTTTTTTTTAGTGCATTTCTTTCCTTATGGTTACACCCGCGTGGCAATCAATTCAGTGTAAACAAACTCATTTTTTTCCGAAGGCTTTTATAATACACGTCTCCGGTACATGAAAAATCAGGGAATGGAAATGGTACATCGTTTAAGGCAGAAAGAGAGAGGAAAAATGAAGTCAAAGAACATGGTTATCGTTTCCACCATGATTTATTAAGGAAATAGCTTGCTCTAGGTTTTTCCTTTTGGAAGTTGTGTTTATGCTGTAAGTGAAAGCTATTTAAGAGAGAAAGGGTTTTTTTTTTTTTTTAACAGGATAATTAATAGATAGTTTGATAGTTTATATTCCGAAGTTGAAGCAAGTGCTAATAAGTCATAGATGTGGAAAATGGTAAGCAAGGAGAAACTTTCAACACTTTAATTCAATTATACTTCAACAAAAACAAATGTGTATATATATATTTGCACATGCATGTGTGTGTGTATAATATATATTTATGTATATGTATAAAGAGAGAAACAATAGACATATACATACATATATACATGGGTATTTATATAGAAATCTATATGTAAATATAGATAGTTGCATAAACATTTGCATAAGTATTTATATGTTCTGTGTGTTTACATATATATGTATATAAGTATGTATATATATATATATATATATATATATATATATATATATTCATATACATTTATATATTTATTTAAATATGTATTTGTATACATATAAGTATTTAGTTATAAATGTAAAGATATAGATTGATTGATAAATAAGTACATGCACATGTATATAAGGTTATATATTTATTGATGACATGTAAATATACATATTTTATATATAGATATATAGGCACATATATAGATAAATAAACACATAGATGTAGATATATAGATTCATATATAGATAGACTGATACAGATATAAATAAATATAGCTATACAAACATAGATTTTCTAAGTTTTGGTGGCCTAATCAGGATTCTTGTACAATATGCCTGGGAATATAGGTAATGTGTTAGGTGATGGTGAAAAAAGAGGGATAAAACACAATCATTCTAGAAACCATATTTAAATTTATTTGTCTAAAGTCATCAAACTTTCAACATGATAAGAAACATGCTGCCATAACTATACAGCATGTGGTGTAGAAAATAATACATCTGTTTTGGGGTCAAATAAATATCTATTTAAAGGCACAGAATATCTGCATATAATGTATGTACACTAGCAGGACATATCGCAATTAGAGATTTTCTCTTTGCAGTATGACTCATCAGTGAACATGTGTTTTCGCTGTCCAACGGACATTAGAGAGAGAAGCACCTTGTCACCCTTCTGTGGCTCTAGCCATAGGAAGATGCCAACAGATGCGATAATGAGTTTTAGCTGCAAGCTTTACTCTTTCCCTCCAGAGCTGCAGTCACAGCCCCATGCTAGATCCAAGAGCTCACTTAGTTCCTCCTCACCAAGTGAACATTTGGGGAAAACCTTCTTGCAGACGGAGGAGTCTTTCTCCTCAGTGGCGACGACTCTAGCGTAGACGAAGGCAGCGTTGTAGGAGTTTGGGTTCATGGTATTATCGCTTAAGATCTCCACAAGCATGTTCTCTTTCTGTGTGCGATCGGATTCATCTTTCGCCTGCAGGACGCAAAACATCTTTGGGATGCAGGTGTCGGCATCCAGCTGTCCTACTGCAGACAAAATCAGGTCGTCATCTTCCTCATCAGCTGCTGCGACGGAGCGGCGGTAGCGGAGACGGTACTTCCTTTTAGGAGCTCTATATCCATGGCCATGGCCGCGTCCATGGCTTGCACCGTGATATCTCCGTTTGCTTATAGCGCTCGTCAAGGCTCCTAGGCCGGCTAGAACGCCGAATGAGGTTGCTTGGACTGCCATCAAGCAGGACAGACCAACGGCCACCAGAAGGATTAGGGCGCTATTCATCTAAAAAGAAAAACAAAACGCTAATTCTTAGTTAATCACAACAGAAGTCAGAATGTTATAAATAGTGCAAAGGCAATGATATACTCCATTCTATTTGGCAAACAATGAAGACTGATCCCTGTGTTCAACACTGTAGTCTATAAACATCGTGATTTATTTCACCTTATGTAATAACCAGATCTTTTTTTTCACAAATTTACATATACACACCTTGCAAATCACTCAGTAGATAAAGAATCTCTTCAAAGTTAGGAGGCTTAATGTTCTGTTCTCTTCAGTAAGCATATGAGTATACTAAGCTCTGGGTCTAAGGCCTTATATATATCTCTCTGCCTGATATTGTAGCAAAATATCCTTTAATGTCATTGGTCGACCTTTTACGCCCCGACCAATAGCGAGACAGCATCGCCAAGCCTTGTGCAAGAAAGGTATTACAGGAAGCAGTCTATACCTCCGCTGAATATGAATTACTGGATAATGAGGAAAGTAAAGTACAAAGATCAGATAAACATGTAACTACGTAATTGTATGAAGTCAGACGTCGCAGAAGTGGAAACGGAAGGGAAGAAGTACAATCAATTAATCATCAGAAAAAAATAGAAAATATATTTTTTAACAATTAGAAGTAAACAAAAACAGAGAGGGGTTCATTCTAAACACAAAAGAATAGAAGATTCCGTGTATTCTGATAGTATAAATTCATTTTTATCATCAATATGTATCACCGTATGTCCGTAATTTTCATTAATTTAATTACTATGTAAATGAAATCATCCGTGTAAAACCGACATACATCATCATTAAAAGTATTAACTGTTCGCAGATTCCTGATGCTAATGGTACTGATGACAACCTATGACAACAAGGATCATGAGCATGCAACAGTATCAATGATAATAAAGAAAACACACAGTAATGACACATATAACATTATTTGACTACGTTCTATTTTTTGTGTCTGTTTCCTTGAAATATATTAATGCTAGATACTTATAAATGTTATGCTTTATTTTTAACAAAGCATGTTTCATCACATATTTTCTATCAAAAATGTTATACGTTTATTGTAAGCAGTAGAACTAATTTACACGATGACAAAGGACTATGATTTTTCAAATACATTATCCAAAATGGACCAATTTCAATGAAACCTACATAGCCATACACGGTTATCACCACTACATCGGACCAGGTTCTCTATCGTGTTCAGTCTAGAGTTCTGTCGTGTTGAATTTTTTGTCGTTGATTTCAACTCGTGTGTTTGAGTTTTCTTGCTGCCATGTCGAATCTATGTTGTCATGTTGTAGCTAAGAATCATGTTGAAACCATGTTAATATATACTGCTGTGATCAATGTAATTTTCACGTTGAATCTGTCTAGGATGTTGGACCCATCTTGACAAGTTAAATCAATTTTATGTTGGATCAATTATCCTGATATTTAAAACCTGCCATGCATTTCTCCGAAGGCTTCTGTAATACACGTCTCCGGTACATGAAAAATCAGGGAATGGAAATGGTACATCGTTTAAGGCAGAAAGAGAGGAAAAAATGAAGTCAAAGAACATGGTTATGGTTTCTCCCCTGATTTATTAAGGAAACAGCTTGCTCTGGGTTCTTCCTTTTGGAAGTTGTGTTTATGCTGTCAGTGAAAGCTATTTAAGAGAGAAAGGGTTTCCATTTTTTGAAGCAGGATAATTAATAGATATGATTTTGCCAAGTAACGTTTGGTAGTTTATATATTGTTGAGAAAATTTCAACAATTTCATTCAGCTATACATAAACCTATACATGTGTGTTTATACATATAAATATATATATATATATATATATATATATATATATATATATATATATATATACATGTGCGTGTGGTTATATATAAATATATGTATATATAGACATGTGTACATATATACATATACTTATAAGTATTATATATAGAGTGATAGAGACAATTATATATATATAGACATATATGTATGTCTATATATAGATAGATAGATGTATATATAGACACTTTTGTATACGTATTTATGTTATATGTATATACATATATAAATATATGTGTGCGTATGTATGTATGTGAATGTATGTATATACATACATCTATATAAATATTGCTTTTCCAAGGCATGAAGAAATCCTGAAGAAGCAATACAGCGAAAAGTCCTTCGTGTTTTCTTGTTTTTCCCTTTGTTGTCCCTTTGCCATATATATACGTATATATGTATTTAAATATATACGAATGTGTATACATATAAGAATTTTGTTATAAATGTAAAGATATATATAGATAGACTGATAGATAAATATATGCACATGTATATAAGTTTTTATATATATGTATATTCATAGAAATAAGGATTATATGTATATATATACTATTTTAGATATAAATATATAGATACATATACAGACCCTGTCAGGATCCTTGTACAATATGCCTGGGAATATAGGTAATGTGTTAGGTGATGAGGAAAAAGAGAGGGATAAAAAACAATTATTCCAGAAACCATATTTTGATATATTTGTCTAAAATCATCAAACTATCAGCCTCGTAAGCATGTCAAATATACACCATCTGATGTAGAAAATAAAACAGCTTCTGTCTTTGGATCAACAACCCGCATATTCGCAGTCATGAAACAAATAAACATCTACTAATAGGCACAGTATATCTGTGTATAATGTATGTACACTAGTCGGGCATATCGCAATAAGAAATTTTCTTTGTAGAATGACTCATCATATGTTTTCGCTCTCCAACGGACATTAGAGAGAGAGTGGGCCCTTTTACTCTTTCCCTCCAGAGCTGCAATCACAGCCCCATGCTAGATCCAAGAGCTCACTTAGTTCCTCCTCACCAAGTGAACATTTGGGGAAAACCTTCTTGCAGACGGAGGAGTCTTTCTCCTTAGTGGCGACGACTCTAGCGTAGACGAAGGCAGCGTTGTACGAGTTTGGGTTCATGGTATTATCGCTTAAGATCTCCACAAGCATGTTCTCTTTCTGTGTGCGATCGGATTCATCCTTCGCCTGCAGGACGCAAAACATCTTGGGGATGCAGGTGTCGGCATCCAGCTGTCCTACTGCAGACAAAATCAGGTCGTCATCTTCCTCATCAGCTGCTGCGACGGAGCGGCGGTAGCGGAGACGGTACTTCCTTTTAGGAGCTCTATATCCATGGCCATGGCCGCGTCCATGGCTTGCACCGTGATATCTCCGTTTGCTTATACCGCTCGTCAAGGCTCCTAGGCCGGCTAGAACGCCGAATGAGGTTGCTTGGACTGCCATCAAGCAGGAAAGACCAACGGCCACCAGAAGGATAAGGGCGCTATTCATCTAAAAGGAAAAGGAAAATGTTTATTCTCTTACTATAGTAAATTGCAACAGAAATCAGAATGCTATCAGTAAATGATTACATATCGCTATGATAAACTACACGATGAAGATTGAACCCTTTGTTCAATATTGCAGTCTTTAAACTCCGAGATTTCTTGAAACTTAAGTAATTGAAAAAAAAAAAAATCAATTTCACATATACTGTACACGCACCTTGCAAATCACTCAGTAGATAAGGAATATCTTAAAAGATACGATACTCAATGCTCTGTTCTCTTCAGTAAATATATATTTATACTAAGTTTTCGGTCTAAGGCCTTATATATACCCCTGTGCTTGACATTAGGGCAAAATATCCTTTAATGTCATTGGTCGACTTTTTACGCCTTGACCAATAGGTAGAGAGCATTGCTACATCTTGTGCAAGAAGGCTATTGCAAGGAGGTAACCTATACCACTATTGAATATGAATAACACGATAAGCAAATAAGTATATAATAAAGATCTGATAAACATGGAACTACATAAATGTATAAAATTAACCAACCAATGGAAACGATGGACGAAGAAGTACAATTCATTAATAATGACAATTTTTTTTTTTTTTTTTTTTTTTTTTTTACATTTAGGAGTATGCAAAAACAATAGAAAGGAGTACATTCTTATTTACTAAAGAATGGAAGATTCTGTAAATTCTAATTTTACAAATCATTTCAAATTACTTCTACCACCATGATTCCGTTATTTTCATTACTCCAATTACTATGTGAATATATCTGTGTAAAATGGCAAAGAGATTACTATTAGCATTAATTCACACAGATTCCTGATGATAATGATACTGATGGCGATGACATTAAGAATCATGAGTATGCAATAGTACCAGTGATAATATGAGAAAAACACAGTAATGACATAGGTAGCATTATTATGACTTATTGAATTGCGCATTTTTCAACTATGTTTATGCTGGACACTTATAAATATTTTGATCTATTATATATATATATATATATATATATATATATATATATATATATATATTTTATTACAGTGATTCACCTTCATAAGCTACACGCTTATTCTTTGCTTTGTTCTTTGCTGTTTTAAATCTATTGCTCTGACATAGGATATCTTATTGAGCAATGAAGTAGTTTAAAATATGTTCCACGGAGCGGTAAAGTCTGATTTGCATTTAAAAAAAGAAAAAGAAAATAAATAAAAAGGTAGATGATAGAACAAAGCCTCTAAGTAGACGTATCGTTGATGTATGATGATAATTGTTCATGGAAAAAAAGGCATGAATGGTGGAAGGAAATTACGCCAAATTAAGGAAATCTATTTAAAAGAGACAGTTTCTATGTTGACGCAGGCTAATTGAGTTCTCAAGCGTTACGTCGCGTTGTCATGGCTGCGAATTTACAGTTCTAAAGACACCCGCAACTCAGTTCACAAACGTATAAAAGTTATCTACCGGAAGCGCATTTACTCTCGTTACTCAAATATTTTGTTCACGATAGCTGAAAGAATTGAATTACGGTTGAATTATAGTCATAAATAGTGGAATGTAGCTTTATACATCGACTGATTAGATTTGATGTTAATGAATGTTAGTAATCGCCTTCCATATTCAATTCAAGTAAATTTCTTTGTTGAAAGTAATTGTATTTTCCGGTACCCTATTTGTTTAAAAAAAAATGAGCAGACCTACGATCTCGGGATTTATATCAATGCATTCCGCAGTCCATTTTTTCGATAGACCTAAAGTACTTTTATATAAAAACAACATTGCGTACTATCGGAAAAAACAGAAAAAATAATTCAATCATCTATTCAATATACTTTCAAGATTTGATACGACCCATGGTTATTTTCTTGGGTTTTACATATCTAAGTCCGCGAAAGAAAATAAAACGGTACTCACCGTTACATCATACACCTTCTTCTTCATGCTTGCTTGGACTTTGCCTTTTAAGTACACCGAGTACATATGTAATACTATCAATATGATTTGATTTGTAGTGGTTCTCTCCCCGAGAGACTGGTCTAGTTTTATTTTTGAAGAAATTTAAGAGGCTCGATATAATTTGTTTAGAACTGAAAATTGATTTCCATGGAAACGTGACGTAATGGCTTGAGGACTCTATTAGAAAATATGCATATTGAGAAAGAGACAACTATTTCATTTGAGCTTAAACATGCGTTCCCTATTACGGGTATAACTTTCCTGGCAACAGACATAAAAAAAAACACACACACAAATGTATGCTGTAGGACTATACATAATATTTGTATCTGTAAATGGGATTTTAAAACTGCATCAGCCGCCTTACCGCGATGGGGGGAGGGGGGAGGGCTTGAGGTCCCAATGACCCGCTGAACCAGAACAAAAGGGTCACCAGTGAGGGATGACAAAATAGCTCTCAGTTGCACTTGGGTCTATGAGAAGGGATGCGGCACCCATCCCTGGTTCATTCCATATTGAAACAGGAAAAACTCGTTTCCCGTGCATGGCATCCCTTATTGTTGGGGAACAGGAGTCCTGGAGGTTGAGTGATGCTGCATGCTGTTTCCTGCAGCTAGCAACGCACCTCTTTGGTCTTCTATTCTGGTTAGATGGGTGGTTTGATCAAGGCTTGGTTAAGTCAGTCGGCTGGGTAAATATGTTAAGGGTCAAATAGGTACTGCCTAGTCGACATCGCACAGGTCCTGCGACCGCTATCAGCAGTGGGTAGTGACTGTGTATATTTCCTCCCTACACCCGTGGCTGTTGGGTGTATATAAACTGTAACTTATAGCTTCCCCTCATTGGACTCCATTCCACTTTGTATGCATTTTACGACAAACACAATCCCCTGTCCAATCCCTTTCAAACATCATCTGTTGTCACTCTGAAACTTTTCCAGATTCCAAAGCCAAGAATTGGAATCGGAATGCTTCCAGGGCTCCCAGACCAGGAAAGGAGAAAAGTCTTGAATCCATCAAGGAAATCTTACCAAGTAAATATGAAAGTATTCCATAGAACAAATACCTTGTGGTGAAGACTAATGATAGTGTGTGATCATCCCCCAGTGAGATGGAAGACTAATAATGGAATTTTGTTATCAGACGATGCTCAAGTCATACTCGCACAAGACACTAAATTACTTCAATTCTTTTCCCGGGATATTCAGGAGAACTAAAGTAGTTCAAGGTAGTGGCAGTGAAGCGTTTTAAGTAGTTGATGGTGTGGAACAATCAATATCAGCTCTTCTAACTTTTAAAACATGTCTTTCCAGAATTGATTAAGGTGGCATGTAACCACCACAGGGTGCTTCCACTGCCATGGTTATGGGCATAGAGTCAACTCTTGCTGTCTTCAGGAAAATGGACTACCAAGAGTGTGTATACTCGTAAAGCGTGGTATAACAGATCATCAAGGAGATGACATTTGTCCAAGTCCAGTATGCTCTTATCACTGTAAAGAAGCTCATGAAGTACCTTCAAAGCAGAGTATCAGGTACAAATTTGAAAAATAATAAGTACCAGAAGCATATCATCGTGCCCCGGTGTTGTTTGCACAGTCAGGTAAGTCCCTTAACTTGGTTCTAGCCCGACCTTCCCATCATCCCTAAGGAGTGACCCAGTCCAAAGGAAGCCTTTGGAAAATAGTGCTATAGGCAAATAACATTCCTCCAGAAAGGGATTTGAGGTGGGCCTTAACCACAGGTGCTTCCAAACACCTTATGAAAAGGTCGCTTGTTAACATGAAGAACTGGATACCCAGTAATATAGGACAAATAATATTTAATAACTTCATATAACCCAGTCTGTGTATGCCTACAAGAGATTATGACCAGTGAAAATCGTCCAATTACCCCGAAAGGTTTCCAAGTTCAAGCCCATTATAGGACCTTTGATAATGGACCTCATGAAGAAGTAACGGTGATTGTACGTCAAAATATTCCCTTTCAGGCTGTCCACCAACAGACGACACTATGGGTGAATGCTGTGAGGATTGGTTTGACACGGATACTGTTGCATGCATCAACTTCCCTCTTCATAATCTCAACATAGATGATTTGGAAGATATCCTTTGGCAGTTGTCTCATCCATTTCCACTCTTGGGAGATTTCAATGGCCGGCATCATCTCTAGCGAGGCACTGCAACCTGCACAGAAGGGCCTTGGAGTCCTTGTTTTCAAGATTGGATGCAGTACTTCTGAACACCCACAGACTTCAAAATTCAAACAAAAACACTCTCCAATATTGACCTATCAATTGTTTCACCTGTTACACAGTTGGATTTCTCTTGGCCAACCATGGCAGACGGAAACGACCACTTTTCACTACTGTTGGAGGTGAATGGCATTACACCCAAAAAGATGAATAGATGGCGACTTGAACATATAGCCTGACATATTTTTAGATCAACTGCAGTAATGCAGGAATCTGTGAATGATTTCAAGTGTGTTCAGGATGCTGTTGATCATTTCATATCATGAATTTACCTTACAGCAGAAGCATCCATTTCCAAAAGTTGTAGGTAGCACCGTCGACCTCCGGTACCTCCGGTGGTCTGATGAATGCCAACAAGCTGTCAGAGTAAGAAAAGCTGCACGAAGGCACCTGAAACGACAGCCCAGCAAATTGACCTTGATATATTACAAAAGAACCCAACCCAAGGCCAGGCAGGTGCTAAAGGGGGTTAGATAGATGTCGTGAAGACAATATTGATTTATTCCTGGACCCTCTTTGCATGAGTATGGTACAAGGTATGCAAGATCACTGGAAAGAGTACATCCTATTCACCACCTATTTTGACGATAGATTGCATAATCTTAATAGACAAAAAAAAAAAGTTGCAAATGTGCTAGCTAAAGCTATGACAGAGATCTCCCCTAGAGCAACTTTCACTGCCTGATTCTCCATCCTTTGCGCTGATTAGAAACAACGCCCATATCGTTCTTTAGTAGGACTGAGCAGAGCTCCCTTACAACTTACTATTTTTGTGCAGGGAGATGACAATATTCTATACCAAATGATATCTTTTTTACTGGAGAGATCACAAAAGTTCCTGTTGGACCTTTTCAATGGGATCTTTGGAGAGGGCACAGTGCCCTTCACTTGGAAAGAAGCTATAGTCATTCTAATCCCCAAAATTACAAAGGTACAAAATGGTAAACCACAGGTTGTCATGGCTACTAGAAAATGAGAATGTACTGACCCAATATCAATATGGGTTTAGAAAAATGATGCAGATGCCTTTGTGAGGATGGAGACTGCTATACAGAATTCCTTCACACAGCGACGTCATAT